ATTTGATGGTTTGGTTTGGTGGAAGGACGATTGGTTTCTCTCGCTTTGGTTGGCAACCAGTTTATAAGGAATGATAATAGTAATGATAATATTAGCCGTTTCCCCATAAGGAAATATTTGACATTCATTTCTAGTAGTGCTCTCGGTTTAAATTTATAAAAATCTCCATTTTAATACAATTACTTTCGCATATATCAACTATAATTAAAATGTAGTTGCGTACATTCATGTATATCAGCCTCTATCGTAATGTGCTACATATATTTATTTACTGCATTAATTTATAATTTTTTGTTTTTTGACAGTTTTTTTAAAAATCTATTCTGTATATATTATATTTTACTTCAAATATTACTGTAAGAGGATAAGTATTTTGAGAAAAAAAAAACAAATTTTATTACAGAAAAAATCTTAAGCTTTTACGACATGAAAGATCTTTCGATTTCGCCTTTACTGATCATTATCTTAAAGGGATGAATTAGATTTTATCTTACTGTTAAATACGAATTTAAATAAATAGGTACAACATTTTACCCAAGAGGAACACTCAAATATTTTTTAAAATACTAATTTCAATAAACAAATATTGCAATAAGAATATTTTTAACTTTAAATTTATATTTAGTAATTTAATCACTTGAAATTCAGAGGTAATTATTAATCCTATTCTACCTTATTGTTGAAACTTGACTAATGGAATAATAATGCAACAGAAAATGTACTTAGAACAAAATGTATTGAAACAAGAAAGTGTACACAATATTTACATATAGCCTTTTGTATATTCCTGGGAAGACCGTTCCTGGAGAATGTGTTGACTGAGTCGCAGTCGGGCAGAGTCTCTGGTTGAATCTCTTGATTCCTACCTCCGGTACCAACCATATTTATATGGTCGATACTCCACTATGCAAATTAGGTGGATCCTACCACAACACTTATAATACTGCTAATTAAAACACTTTAAAGAATTGCTTGTTTCTATTTTTACTTGTACTTTTTCGGTAAAATGTCCGTCGACCAAATGTCCGTTTAGCAAAATGTCTCTAGGCCAAATGTCCGCAGGCTAAATGTCTGGCCACGGTTTTTGTGAAGTTGAAATTTTACTGAAATAAGTTGGGACATTTCCAAGTTTTTATTCGATATCAAGAAAATAAAATCATTACGTAGAATCGTAGCAATATCTTGAAAAAGGTAGTCGTGAGTTTCAACTTCTGCCAGGAGAATATGGATTAAACATTTCTATTTATATCTCAATAAGTCTTATGACCTATTTTAAATCTTCAAACCCCATATATGGCAACTATTTTGAAAGGCGGCCGTTGAAATTAAGGTCAAGAAGATATGTTTTAAATAATATGACAAGTCGTAACAACAAACAAACTAACCGAAACGCTTACTTAAATCGATAACGTTTTTTTTTTTATTTAAATAAAAATTTGGTCTTATAAACTCGATTCATACTCGATGCACATAATGAAGATTTGCATGTTCAATTGAAAAAAAAAAGCCAGCAACACTGAAGAAATTAATGGAAGGAGAGATTAGAAACGAATGGTTTTAAGCAAAGACGATAAAGTAAAATTAACATATTGATATAAAAACAAAATAAAAGACAATAATCCAGGCTTAATTTTAAAAGATAAAGAAATAAATATATAAAATCAGTGAAGAGAGTAAAAAAGAAATTCAGAAAAAAAAAAAGAATGATAAAAGAAAATCTACAAATACAAACGAAATAAAAAGCTGCTTGATATCAAAGATGCGTTGTCGTTAGGAAAACCACCTGGCGGCCATTTTGTTGCCTCTTCATTCGATAGAGCGTCCCCAAGTGATTAACGCTACAATGCGAGATTGCATCAGGTCACGCAATGTCTTGTTCCCTATTATTTTTTTGTGTGTATGTGTTTAAGTCATGAATATTCTCTTTAGCTGCGTTGCCTTCAAGGTTAAGAGGAAGCAGAGACTTTCATTTCACTAATCGACTTCAAAAATTTATTACATTCGTTACGATAAACTGTATTCAACTATTGAGCTTTGCCACGTATAACAGTATCGTTCCGCCCACTTCTCGTTCACAGCGTTTAAAAATTGTCTAATGCAAAAGTCTTGCAGAGCGACCTTTTAATTCGGTCAACATTTGATCAACACCTTTTTATTCCGTTGTGTTATGTGCTTCATTTTCTATAAATCCATTCTAGAAGTAAAAGTCCTGTAGTCCGATCGCTTTTTAATCCGATAAACATTTGATCGAAATATTTTAGATGTTATACACGGCATCAAACCTGTTCAGAAATATGTAAGCGCTCAGCTGTGAACCACTGCTTTCAAAGATCAATAATTAAAAATGGCTTTGATTGAGTGAAACTTGTGGGCTTTAGGAAAGGCCATATTTCTTCGAACCTTGTGGACTGGAGCTACTATGGAATCACAAAGAACTGTGCCAAATAACATAAACCCCATCACACCAGAAGCAGCAACAATTAAAATGGATAGCGCATGTAAAACGAAGAGGAAATAACGAGATATTCAAGATATTGATGTGCGACACTACTTCAAACAAAATGTTAGGAAGGAAAGACCCTGTTTACATTGAGGACACATGACACAGCGGATAAAGGCGTTAGTTAGATCCAGTGACAGGACCCAAAGATTGTGGGTTCAATACCCGATTAAGGCAGTGGAGAACTTGGAGAGGGGAATTAACAGGAGATAACTGACATCCATTAAAACATGGCACGTGGAACTAGAACAGTCTACCCCAGTGAGCGAAATAAAAGATTCAGTTCGACATTCCAACCACCTGAAGAAGGCCGGAGCCGAAACGTTGTAATAAATATGGCGACAAATATGAGGTCCGAATAATGTAAATAGGGTACATAATACCTCATCTATAGACAGACAGATGAGGGCAATAGTCCGAATAATGTAAATAGTGTACATAATACCTCATCACAGAAATACAGACAGAAAGATGAGGATAATAGTCCGAATAATGTAAATAGTGTACATAATACCTCATCTCAGAAATATGGACAGTAACTGGAGGAAAGACCCTATCACTATTGTAAAGAGCCTTATAAGTGGTCATTTCCGAACAAACGCTTTCCGATCTGAAAATATCAATGTATTGGAATAAAAACATTGATGGCACCTCTTTGGAGTCCATCATAAAAATTCAAGATGTGGTATTAGTAAATACTAAACACTTCAAATACATCAGTGTAGGGATCAGTTACAAAAAATTTAGCGTAGAAAAAAAGACGTTAGAGATAGTTTCGCCGAACACCTCAAGTTGCTACAAAACCAAAATATTAACCTGAAAACTTGTCTGGTTCTGAAATATGTTTTTTTCGCTACACAGTTCTAACCATGTTTCAACAATGGAAGCCAAGAGCTTCGAATTTAATTTTGTAACTGAATTAAAGACATTAGTTCCATTTCAAAAATTAAAGACATTAGTTCCATTTCAAAAATTAAAGACATTAGTTCCATTTCAAAAATTAAAGACATTAGTTCCATTTTCCAAAATTCGCTTGAGGATGAATTTAAATATTTTAAGTAATTCTGTTACATTTATTTGTTTTAAAAGTAGTATAGTCTATTAGAAATTGAAATTAAGAATAATATTTTAAAATTGTAGTTCAATACGACGTACTCATATACAAACAACTCTTTTAGAAAAAATCTTTATGTATGCAAGTACAAATTTAACGGCGAAACAAAGTGTCGAATAACTTTTGGTCGTTGTAAAAGACCAGACGACATTTGTTCAACGGATGTCATCATTCATTGGAAAAGGCACCCCTACCCTACCTTAACTTAACCTCTTTTCGAAAGTAACTCATATTTTGATACAATAGTTGTCAGTGAAAATGAATACCCTACCACCCCTTGTTAAAATGATTGGATTTCTCCGTATCCTTAGAAACTAATATTATGAATGTGTGTGCTTATATAACTCAGTAAATTTCAAAATAAGTTATTCCAAAATTCGCTTGAAAATGAACAGGACTAGGGACTTTAATTTAATTCTATAAGTGAATTTGAAGTTTTTAGTATCTGTTTTTGAAACATGGCAATTTTTGTGTAGTGATGGAATCATATTTTGTGCCCTGATGATGACAATTTGAAATTGTCGAAAGTGCTTGGCATGTGTCTTCTATCTAACAACAACTCGAATGTAAGGATCTTATTATTCAAGGACTAGATAGTAAGTCAATATCTCATTAAGTTCTGTTAGCGAAGTGATTTCGCCATTAATCACATTAACATTGTTATTTAATTCTTTGTATAAAGTGTTTCTTTATGAGATGAAATATAAGCTGATGATTCTAATATATATATATATATATATATATATATATATATATATGTGTGTGTGTGTGTGTGTGTGTGTGTGTGTGAGAGAGAGAGCATCTTATAGAGAAAGGAAGTATTTGTCAATATATTATAAGGAATATTCTTCTAAAAATAGTCTTTAAATTGTGTTTACCAGAATCCTTGCATGTTTTTCTGCTGTGTGTTCACACGTGTTATGGTCTTGAGAATCTTCATTTATATTTGGAGACTCACGATAGGCCTAAAAGTCAACGAATCATTGCAAAGCCAAACCTAATGATCACCTCCGCCCCACCCCTACAGCAACAGCAACAACGAAAGAAAAAATATGGTCCAAAGCTAGCATAAACATCCGGGTCATTAGCTCGTAAGTCAAGACCAGCGGGGGTAAAAAGAAGCCTCATTAATATCTACAAAGCGCATGTGCAGAACACAGAATAGAAGCTGAAAGAAAGAAAGAAAGAAAGAAAGAAAGAAAGAAAGAAAGAAAGAAAATCAAAGAAAGAAAATCAAAGAAAGAAAGTCAAAAAAAGAAAGGTAAATAAAATGGAGTTCTAGGTGACAAGCGATGGAAACTTTAGACAGAAAATCGCAGGAAAATGGCGCCCGGCTGCTGATTTTTTGTTTCTTGATTTTTGTATCGATGTCTCCTCCCGATTTTTATGTTGGGATTCTTTCTCTTTCCTTCTTTTTCTGACACTCACTTTCTTTTGTTCTCTATTTTTCTTTCTATTTCTCTCTCATTCTTTCTTTTTCATCTCTTTGTCTCTCTTTGTTTCTCTATCTTTCTTTCTCTACACCTGTCTCTTGCTTTCCTTCTCCTCTTCTTGATTTCTCTTTTTATCCATTGTTCTCTCTCTCTCTCTTTCTTTCTTTCTTTCTTTCTTTCTTTCTTTCTTTCTCCTTGTCTTGATCTATCACTTTTTATTTCCTTTTTTTCCATTTTTCTTCTTTTTGATCTGTTTATTTCCCTCCTTCTTTGTTTGGTTGTTTGTGTTTCTCTTTCTTTCTTTCTTTCTTTCTTTCTTTCTTTCTTTCTTTCTTTCTTTCTTTCTTTACCTAAATCTTTTCTCTCTGTCCTCTATTTCTTCTTAATTCTACACATTTCTTCTTTCTTTCTTTCTTTCTTTCTTTTTGTGTTTATTTATTTTATCTCCATTTCAATTTCTTTCTTTCTATCTTTCTTTCTTTCTTTGTCCTTGTGTTGATCTATTCCTTTTTCTCGCGTTCTTTCTTTCTTTCTTTCTTTCTTTCTTTCTTTCTTTCTTTCTCCTTGTGTTAATCTAACCCTTTTCCTCACGTTTTTTCTTTCTTTCTTTCTTTCTTTCTTTCTTTCTTTCTTTCTTTCTTTCTTTCTTTCTTTGTCCTTGTGTTGATCTATTCCTTTTTCTCGCGTTCTTTCTTTCTTTCTTTCTTTCTTTCTTTCTTTCTTTCTTTCTTTCTCCTTGTGTTAATCTAACCCTTTTTCCTCACGTTTTTTTCAGCCTTTCTTTCTTTCTTTCTTTCTTTCTTTCTTTCTTTCTTTCTTTCTTTTCTCTCTGTCCTCTATTTCTTTTTAATTCTACACATTTCTTTCTTTCTTTCTTTCTTTCTTTCTTTCTTTCTTTCTTTCTTTCTTTCTTTCTTTCTTTCTTCGTCCTTGTGTTGATCTATATCTTATTCCCTTTTTTAAATTTCTCTTTCTTTATTTCTTTTATGTAGGTATGTCTAAATACCTTCTTTTTTATCATTTGTCGAGGCTGGATATATGGTGGACCGTAAATGCGTAATTGATTTGAACAGCCGGTGTCGTTGATGGCAAGGTCGATTTCGAATGGCGAATCGGACGAAGAAAGCGAGGTAAACAAAATGGAGAAAAAGAAATTCAAGAAAGAAGAAAACTCAACAAGAAATAAGGAAGAGAATAATTGACAAATGAATGAGGGCGGGAAAGAAAGATGGAAGAGAAGAATGGCGGAAGAAGACGAAAGAGGAACAGATTCGAGAAGAAAGAATGACGAGACAAAAAGAATGAGGAAAACGAACATGAAGAAGAAAAATGGAGAAGAAAGGGAAAGAGAAAGTGAAGGAGAAAAAAGATAGCGGGGATAAGTTAGGTAAAAGAAAGACGTGAAAGATAAAGAAAAAAAAACGAGAAAAAGGAGGAAAAGGTAATTCAAAATGGAAAGGAAACGGTGAATGATAAGAGAGAGGAAGGAAGATTCAGAAGGAAAAACGATGGTTAAATAAAATCGAGAGAAGGAAGAAGATGAAATGCATAATCATGTTAAATAAGAAGAGTGTAATGAAGAAAGAAGAAGAAATGATTGTGAAGAAAAAAGAAAGAAAAAGTAAAAAAAAATATCAAGAATAAAACACTGAAAGGAAGGATTCAAAGGTAAAAAAGATGAATAAAGATTAAATAGAGAAGGGAAATATTTCGACGAATTATGCAAAGAAGAAAAAATGCAATTTAAAAAAAAGGATAAAATCAAGAAAATGAAAGAGACTAAAAGAAAGAGAGAAAACAAGGAAACGGAGAAGAGCAAAAAGAAAAGGAAGAGTAAAGAGAAAAAAAATGAGAGTAAAAACACAAAAGGAAATTAAGAGAGGAAGTAGCGAGAAATGCATAGACGAAGAGGAACAGAACGAAAAAGCAGACGAGACGACGAAACTGAATAAAGGAAGATCGATTTGTTTTTTTTACGGTTTATCAATCCCTTATCGGCTAGTTAAAGGTAGAAAATATTAGGTTGATGCAAAAATAATGACGTAATAATGTCGTTTTGGGACTTATTTTTTAACGTCAAAAAACGACATCATTACGTCATTATTTTTGCACCAACCTAATATTTCGGGATTGTAAGAATGTTTTTTTTGTGGGGCAGATAATAATTGTTTAGGTTGGGATGTGAAGAGGTAGATTCAACTCAAAGTTATTTGCGCGTTATTTGAATATAACGAACCCAACTGAAATTGGAACTCTACTCTCCAATTAACAATTCCGAGCCATTATCCACTACACCACCCACACACCTAAGCTTACAGCGCCCGATATTCCCAAGCCCTCACCCATCTAGGTACTGATCCGTTTCGACATTGCTTAGGTTCGAGGATCGAACGGGAACCGATGTTTCAACGCGATGTGGCCGTAAACCCAATAGAAGTAGCAGCAGCAGCAGCCACAGAAGAAGAAGAAGAAGAAGAAGAAGAAGAAGAAGAAGAAGAAGAAGAAGAAAATGGACAAAGAATACTAGACAATAATGGTAAACTCAGAAGAGAATATAAAAACAATTGCAGACAGGCAAGAAGCCAAAAATAAGAAACTAAGGAATAAAAGCGTAAGACTTTTTGGACTGCAGAATAATAATAATAATAATAATAATAAGCAGAATAATAATAATAATAATAATAATAATAATAATACCTTAAAGGAAAGAAACTGAAGAATAAATTTGATCCCAAAAATAATTAAAGAAACGAATTTGCAAATTTACGAAGAAGAAAAGAAAAAGGAAAAAAAAAACATAAAAAGGAAGAAACGAAGAATTAAAAATTATAAAGACTGATTGATTGATTTGTTTTTTTACGGTTTATCAACCCCTATCAGGTTATTTAAAACCATAAAGTATTTTCAGATTGTAAGAATTTGTTTGGCGATAATAATGATTTTCCCCCATAAAAAATATACTAATTAACCCATAGATGGGGAGATGTGGATTCATACCTTTCCCAAGGTTATTTGTGCGTAAGCGAATATAACGAACTTGACTGGAATTGGAAATCGGGGAGATGAGTTCCAATTAAGAGACGTTTACCATTATACCACTCGCAAATCGAAGCATACAGTACTTGGTATTCCTCGAGCGGTCACCCATCTAGGCACTGACAAGTCTCAACGTTGCTTAGATTTAATGATCGAACAAGAAGCGGTGTTTCAACGTGATATGACCGCAAGTCGGATTATAAAGACATAAGTAATTTTTTTTTAATCTAAAATAGTAGAGATTGCTGTCATAAAGTTAAAAAAATAAGCGAACTATAATTAGCCGATTTAATTAGGCATGGAAATATTTGTAGAAAAGACAGAGGGAAACCACGGCACGTTGGTGAGAAAGTGAATGATTTCAGGTCGGGATCGATTACATGACAGACCCTTCTTTGAATTTTGCGAAGAATGCACAGAAATATAATAGAAAAATCAGACCAGATGTGGTAGCCATATTCGATGTACGGACGAATGGTAGATTTATTCATCATGCAGGATGTATTCTATGAGAAAAAAATTGTCTAGCACAACACAGTGAACCAACTTTCCTAGCAGCAGACCTAGCAATAGATTCAAACAATGACTCCACTGCATGCCAGGGTAAAACTTGAGCTCAAGAAGGCGCAGAGAGTTGGCCCTCACTGGAGGTTAGCATCAGCCATATTAACGGAAGCCAGAAAAGGTTCTCTATGGTGAATAAATGAAAGCAGTCTTGTTTTGGAGGCGTTGACATTTAAAAGCCATTCCTTGCCCCAGTTAACAACTTATTGTTTTTTTTTTCGAGAGCAGTTGCGAAGTTTACTTTGTCTGACCTATCTAGTTTGGAACTAATGAGATCGAGGTCTTTGATGAGGATATGAAAGACTTAGGTTCAAAGGTAGAGCATTGAAGAGCCTCCCAGAGGCAAACTGGAATCTCTAGCTTTGGTTGGTAACCAGTCTAGGAGAAACTTCTTTCTCAGCCCAATCAAACAAATTTCTCCTCTGTGTCAGGTGAAGATTATTCTCGTTAAACAAAACAATCTTCAGAGGAGACCAAAACGTGTATTCATTGGTAAAAAAGCTGTTTTTTTTTATTTACAGTAAAACATATCTATAAATAACAGAGCCACAAACTCTCAGCAGAAAGAAAAACTTCATAATTTTTCGCCCACAATATAATACACCTGTAAAAACAAATCTATATTTAAATATCCCTGAAACTCATCAACAAAAACAACCTCAAATCAAGCAAACTGCACAAAGTATTCAACGGAAATACTCTGTAGCTAATCTATAATTGCAAATAAAAATTTTCAAAATCATGGAAAAGCAAAAACTTTGGAGTACACTACAGACGCTCACAACACTCATCTCTAGCTACGTAACAAAATACGAATACCCACTAAACGGTAACTACCTACAAACTAATTTCGTATACCAAGCTTCTGTTAGGTCGAAAGAAAGTCCAGAAAATATACATGGGAACGGTAGATGGTCCCTGGAAATAGAGAAACAACTCACATAAAACAACATTTTAACCAGAAAATAGAGTCGACACAGCCCTTTCGAAATATATATGGAAACTCAAAATCACAAGACAATATACACACCAAAAATAACATGAAAGTAAGAAAGGCAGTAAACTAGTAACATTTAACTCGAAATTAGCTTTCTAGAACACGCTAAATTCATAAATGTATCAGAGCCTATTTCAAAATGCAGACACGAAAACAAACACCTACTACGCTGGTTCCAACCGCAATAGGAATAAAAAAAAAAATAAAATTCAATAAGTTAAACTTTATTTCGAACAGCAAAATTTGGAACGGAAAAAATAAAATATATAAATCTAAAGTAATAAATAAATAATTTCTCTTTACATAAATTATAGATAAAACCTGTTTTGTCGCTTGTTTTTTTTTATCCCAATTTGAAGCGGATGTAAATGGTAACCCGGCAATCATTTAAAAACTACCAAACTAACTTTTTTTAAAAGCAACAGAGTGAAACCACAGTAATATAAAACAATTATAATAATTTTCTTTTTGAATGAAGGAGTAATATAGGTGGATTGAGAAATCAGAGAGCCGAGTTCGAATTCCAGTCTAATCCATTACATTCACTTACGTGCTAATCCTCCTCTTCTCCAGCTATGGGTAAATTAACAGCCTTGGATGGCAACTGGTCCAGGAGAAGGACAACTCTGAATTCAAACCCGGAGTAGAGCTCCTAAGACGGGTGGAGGGCAATTTGTGCTACCTTCCGGTAATTCCTGCAGCCGCGCTGGTAGCAAACTCTTTAACGCCACTACCAAACTGGTTTATCCTCTCCTCTGGGCTCTGCTAGCAAGGCAGCAGCCCTAGTTCTCCATATATGCCGTCCAGGCTCGTAGCGCACCGCGCTACTCCATCGTCTCTCGAGGCGGACGGATGCCGACGATATATATATATATCTATATATATATATATATATATATATATATATATATATATATATATATAGGCAAAATCATTCATTTATACATGTTTCATTAAAGATGACTGAAAAGGTACCTCGATTAATCTTTTTTATTTAATTCTTCTTGTGTTCGAAAAGGTATTTTCTTTTCTAGATACATAGAAATTGTCCAAATCTGTAATTTGGAGCGCTTTACTTTTAGCCATTATCAATAATGATTTTATTTTTACTTTTTGTCTAGATATATGAGTTGTGCATATTTATCTAGAGTTATAGGGATGTTTTATTTTCCGAACGCAGTCAGCACATTGTGGCCGTGTTCATAGTTAATATTATTCAGTGTTGTTTTTTTTCTTTTTTATTATTAAGATTTCCATTATTTTTTTTTATATCTTTTCGTGTGTTCCTGATCAAAATCATAAATAATTACATCAGTCAGACAACTACATGCCTATTCAGACGACTTACGTTACATCTATTCGACCACAGCTCCATCAGAACCAATCAAACACACACAGAGACTTCAGGAAAGTTTCGGCCCATTAAGCTCAGTACCTCTCCATACGGTGGGCCCGAAACATATAAATGATCTTACGTTGCAACTGGTCTAGGTGAATGCGACTCGATAGGAAGTTAGACGTAATCCATGGACTGCCTTCCACCGCTTTTTCCCCACAAGTCATTATCACCTTATTCAGCTTTTTGGATTACCAGGACACTTGAAGAAATCCTTTACAGCCGACCTCAAACAGCACCAGGGTGCAGTTGTATCCTCCCTCACTGACACCAGCCACCAAGTTCCTCATACCGAAGCAGCCTTCTTTCATGAGCCTCTTCAATCCCGTCTTCCCATGCCACTGTCAACTCGCCAAGGTACAGATGTTACTTCCAAACATCAATTAACATTAGATCTGGCCTCAGTCCAGACACAAAAACCTCAACTGGCAATGTAGTATCAACCAACACTCTTCACTTCCTTGAGTCCTCCGACCTGGTCTTCTGCTTTGTGTCAGTCACACCCTGCTTCGGGAAGGCAATCCTTCGGATGTTCGTCAAGTGAATACTAACACTTCTTGCATATATATATATATATATATATATATATATATATATATATATATATATATGTCTCTGTGTGTGTGTGTGTGTGTGTGTGTGTGTGTGTAAATTCAGTATTTGTGTAGCAACTCCTTTGTTAAAAACAATACAACAGTTTTAATTCCACTATTTACATTATTCGGACTGTTGTTCTCATTTTAGTCGCCACATTTATTACAACGTTTCGGCCGTTGTACGCTCCGGCCTTCTTCAGGTGGTTGGAATGTCGAACTGAACCCTTTATTTCGCTCACTGGGGTATACTCAAGGACACATGGCACAGTGGATAATGGCGTTGGTTAGATCCAGGACCTAAAGAGTGTGAGTTCAATACCCGATTAAGGCAGTGAAGAACTTGGAGAAGGGGGAATTAACAGGAGATAACTGATAATTGACATCCATTAAAACATGGCACGTGGAACTAGAACAGTCTACCACAGTGAACGAAATAAAGGGTTCAGTTCGATATTCCAACCACCTGAAGAAGGCCGGAGCGTACAACAGCCGAAACGTTGTAATAAATGTGGCGATCAAGATGAGGACAATAGTCCGAATAATGTAAATAGTGTACATAATACCTCATCTCAGAAATATAGACAGAAAGATGAGGACAATAGTCCGAATAATGTAAATAGAGTACATAATACCTCATTTCAGAAATATAGACAGAAAGATGAGGATAATAGTCCGAATAATGTAAACAGTGTACATAAAACCTCATCTCAGAAATATAGACAGAAAGATGACGACAATAGTCCGAATAATGTAAATAGTGTACATAATACCTCATCTCGGAAATGTAGACAGAAAGATAAGGATAATAGTCCGAATAATGTAAATAGTGTACATAA